TTTGTTCTGAAAGTTATGAGTAAAAAGAAGATACAGAACACTGAAGAACTTTTATATCAGAATTACTGCTTTGATCACACCCACCCTTTAAAAGGACATCAGCTCGATGGCTCAAGAACATCTCATTTCAATAAAAGTGCCCTGTAGTCCCAGAGACTCATGTCATTCGCAACCATACTGTAGATTTATATTAGATGACTTCATTAGCGTAAGAAAAATATCGGAAACAGCATATTTATGCCAGGAGAAACTAGTGATGAATATACACTGCAAGAGAAAACAAGGTAGAATATGTTTTTCATCTACCAGAAAGAGGTGGGTCTATTGCTGCCCTCTAGACAAATGCAGAGCACCTATCATATTTCAGGGGGCCAAACATGTAAAAGCCTACTTTGTTTTCTGGTGATGTTTAGAGGAGTAGGCACATAGCATAGTTTCAGATGTTAACTAAGTAACCACTAGGGCTGTGAGAAGCTTTGGTCGCTGATTCGATTCGAAGGAGATTTGGAGGCTGAATCCAAACTGAATCAGGAGACCCATTAATCTCTCTGAATCAAATTGGAAGCCTCCAATTTGATTTGGAGATATTCGATGATTTGGCCATAGATACTTCTATGTTTTTTCTGTGTACCTCACAGTACCAGGTGTGGCTCGTGTACACTGAGATGGCAGGGGGAATGGAGCATCCCATTGGAGCCTGAGGGGGTCCCTCGCGCACTGGGCGGTAGACCCAGAAGTGGACTGGAACTTCCACTGCACAACACGTGGGGGGACCCCCCTGCACTCCCGTGGGACGCTTCATCTGCCTCACCATCTCAGCGTTTACAAGCTGTACCTGGTACCTTGAGGTACGTAGAAAATGCTGTGTCTGTGGCCAAATCACCGATTCTCCGAATCAGAATCGAATCTTCAGATTCGGCCGAATCGAATCGGGACAGTGATCAGACTCAGCGAATCGAAACACCGTCCCCCGAATTGGACTGAATTCGAATTGAATAGTGCCTGCTTTGCACACCCCTAGTAACCACTAGGGGATCACTGATAGAGATTTTGGGGGCCAATACCAATAGCTGATTTTTAAGGCATGTTGGCTGATACTGATCCGATTTCTAATATGGCTGTGTCCAGCTGGTAAGTCTGTTGTGGTGGAAGGGGAGGGGGAGGGAAGGGGCATGGAGGGGCAGATCAACACCCCCCACAGTGAGGGAGGGAGTAGGGCTGGGGCTGCCCTGCCGGGGTGGGGCAGGGCATGGGACGGAGCTGTGGCTTGTCAGGCAGTGGGGGGTGGTAGTGGCTCCCACCACTGCACACACCCCACAAGGGCATGGGAGATCATGTGCCCCTGCATCTGCTTGCAGGGCAGTTGCTACCACAGGCCAGGTTTGGGGCTGTACCAGGCTCTTCCCAGCAGTGGCTGGGCTGGGCTGCACTTGAGGCGGGAGGTGGCGGAGGCTGCAGCCACCCCAAATCTCACTGTAGTGTTTCCATAGCCTGTCTCCCAGTGCTGTTGCCACCTATCCTGAGTGCAGCCTAGCCCCCGCCAGGAAGAACCCAGTGCAGCCCCGGCTCCAGCCTGCAGTGGCAGCCTGACCTGTGCCCCCGCAGCTGCAATCTGCATCCTGCACAGATCAGACAGCACACGTCCCCCACCCCTATGCCCTCCCAGGGTGTGTGCAGTGGTGGGAGGCACCCCACCAAACCTGGACGAGCTGTGGCTCTGACCCGTGTCCCACCCTGGATGGGCAGCGTCTGCCCCAGCCCCTGCCCCAGGCTCACTCCCTCCCTCACCATGGGGGTGTTGATTTGTCCCACCACCCACGCCCTTCCACCACAACTGACTTACCAGCCGCCTGCAGCTCTCCAAACTGCTGGGCTGTGCTCCTTGCTGCCTGAGTGCTGTGCTGTATCTGCATGCATGCACGGGCATTTATTGGCCAAACTATCAGCAACATCACGCCAATTTCTGATATAGTCAATTTTCTTTATAAATCGGTCCCAATCCGATATTGGACTGATGTATTGGTGCGCCTCTAGTAACCACCTTCATGCATATGAAGATGGGCTCTCAGGCTGCTGCTAAGATGCTGATATAACAGACAGTCTGACAGAGCCTGGATCTCTCTGAACTCCAGAGTGCCAAGACACGCAGTAAACTAGTTTATTCTCAGTATCCAACCTCATCTCAGAAATAGGAGAGATCTTTAAACGCGGAGGTCTTGTAAAGTTCAGTCCACTCAAATATGTGCATTAGAACAGTTGCAGTGCACTTGAGACAAATAGGCCCTTGAGACAAAAAGGGTTGTTTCCCAGCATTTGAAGCTGAGAGGTAGGTGAAGGCAGCATGGCCAACTTCAAGTATGCAAAAATTGTGAGAATATTATTAAAAACTTAAGACAAAGTGGAGATCTTCTCCTTTCCTTTGAGTCTCTGTCTTTATGAAGCAAATGCATCCTATACTAGGCTCTACTCTGCAACCAGGAGGGTAAGAAGCTTCCTGTTCATAAAACAAAGCTGAAATTCTCAAACCTTTTCCTTCTAGGAGTCCAATAAGAAAACCCACTGATTATCCTAACTCCAGTGACAAATAGAGTTAGAAACACTGTGTACAGTAGGTGGGATCCACATTTGTGAAGGTCCCTCCAATACAGCCATATAAGTATGATTAAGTCTAAATAATTTTAAGGAATCAAGCATTCCAGGTACTCCAGTTTTAAGGTTAGCTCCCTAAAAGAGCTAACTCTGCCCCATAAAGTGCAAGGAATTGGAAGGCAAAAAGAAAAGCTTGAAATACGGAGGCTGTCTGGTATTTTTAAAAGTTAAAGATACTGAGCCTACCTATCACTGCTCTTAGCAATGATGCTGTCAGGAGTTTTCTGAGCTGTGTCAAGCTTCTGGCTAGCTGAGAACTCCAGCAGGTGTCTGTTCCGGTAAGTAGCACTCAGGTTGGGATCAGCTCCACTGGAGTCTCTTTCGAGCAAACTGAAAGGGAAAAATAAATATAAATATGAACATGAACTCAAACAAGGGATGCTATACTTACACACAAAGGGCTTGTTGGATTCACTTCTTTAGGGTGGATAACTTTATACCTATCTGACAGTTGTTCTACATGATAAAGGATGAACCATAGAATCTCTCACTTTTGGGCAGAAACTGATTGCTCTTTGACTTCACAAATAAATTTTGGTATTGCCAAAGGAAAATGAATTCTGCCTGATCTTCAACATGCAACTTGCTTCAAGGTTTCTGGTAGTTTGGTTTTCTGGATTCCCCATAAGCTTTGCCTTCTAAGATGTAATGCAATCTGTGATCTAATCCCTTAATACACTGCTGGATGAAGAGAAGTAATTTTAGTGATCCCCTGAAGTTGTACTTGCATCTTCAAGTTAATACAACTGACAAAACAGATATATAAATACAAACTTGGTTCCTCAATATGCAGCAAAAGACACTGCCACCAACTATCTCCCCCCACACACATGCACTCACCTGCCCACACACACACACACACACACACACACACAGACACACACACCATACCCCCCACACAATATACAAGAGTAAGACTTTATTTTGAGCTACCCCACAATTGCCTCTATATACACAACCCAAAAAAAACCCCAATCAGGACAAAAATTATTTTTTGAAATAAAATTAAAATACATTACAGTAGATATTTGATTTCTAGTATATAATGTTTTGTCATTTCTAATTTGTTAAAATGATATCTTCTAAAAATTGTGGGTGTGTGCCCCTCAAGAGCTCACCAAAAACTTGTTAAGTGGCTCTCCAGCCAAAACAATTGCCCACCTCTGGCTTAGACGGTGGGGGATTCTGTACCTAGAGTTAACTGTAGCAAAGTCAAGTACATGTGGTTTTGCAGATCCATATGGTAGCAGTGTTCTCCAAGAAGCCTTTCCATAGCCAATGTCAATTTAAGTCTCACACTAAGATTTGGTTTAAGAGGAAGTATGCAAAAAAAATCATTTGGAACAAAGTTTTATATTGAATGCCTCTCTCATTCTCCGAGAACACCAGACTGTGGATGACTTTCTGAAAAGTGACTGCATTCATGCCTAGAAGTCAGCTGCTGATACTATAATATATGCACAGCTGCTGGGCCCCTTGTTTAACCCATTTCTTGGAGCTAGAGGTCAGACTGCTGAAAAGAATGAAAGTACCAAAATAGGCATTTAAGCCCTCTGCTTTTTATTGATCTAGTATCTGTTTTCATGCAAACGTGCTCGACTTGCCCACAAAAAGCAGCTGGTGAGTCACAGCATTTTTTTTAAATAAGCCCCTGGACAATGGTTTTATAGATGATGTTGGAAAAGTGCATCACGTATCAGCAATAAACCGGCTGAATATAGCAGGGAAAATCTTTGATTGGTTTGACTGTGAAGGAATGGAAAGGGAACAGATCTAGATCAGTCTCATAAGTGTCTGGATTTTTAGGCTTCATCATATCTAAAAGTAATCATGTTACCTGGGGGGGGGGGGGGGGGGTGATCCAAAGAAGCTGGGTTAGGCATCTTGGATCCCTACAGTGCATGAGAAGAGGCAGGCATCTCCCAGAAGCAAACCAGTGATCTGGGCACTAAAAAGAAAGCTAGCTAGCCTGGAAGGAAAAGCAATTACAGAGGTGTGTCTGAACTTCTGCCCCTTCCTGGAGCATATATACCTGAAATAGGGCAGAAACAATGTTTTTATTAGAGACTTAGGTGGAACTCAGATGCAGCCCCAACTCCATTCTAGACCACAGAACAGATAAAGCAGGAGCTGGTACAGACTGGGGTCATTCTGGGCATGCACACAAGTGTAAATGTGTAGACTGAAGTAACAACTGTAATGATATCAAACCATACTGATATCAAGATATTATGAGTCTGTAGTGATACCAGTGTAACAAAAGCATATCAACTTAAATCCTGCTTCATTCACAGCAAAGTTCGGTAACTAACTTTGTTTCACTACAGTTTGTGTCAAACTCAGCCTGCACTTGGGGCTGGATGTGGACAGTTAAAATCCTTACAGGTTAAATACAGACATGGTGGTGGGAAGAGCGGCAGTGGTTAACACAGCCACTGCTTGCCTTCTGCCACTGTCATGTGTTACCAACAGTACTCCGTGGTCCAGATTTTAGCAGCAGTCCTACCACCAAATTCCTGGCCCCTCTACCAGCTCCACAGGCCACATGATGTGGGTCTGCAGGTTGTAAGTTTGACACCCCTGCACTAAAGGACTATGTGGATGTAACTGTTACAGCAAAACAAACAATGAATGCTCCAGAGCAGCAACTTCCCTAGCTCCTTCAAAGCTGCCAAAAGTTGCATTGGCTGATACCTTAAGTTTAGGCATGGAGAGAATTTAGGATTTCATAATTTAGGCACCAATTGCATTTAGATGCTTCATGAGTTTTGCAGCTGCTGCAGTGGGTTTGATATTTGCAATTTTAGACACCTAACATCTAATCTGTTTAGGTAGCTAATGTACTGGTATAAAGCTAGCCCTCAGTATCTGCAGAACAAGAGATCTTTTAAGGCAGAAGCTTTTTGTTCAGTGTTTGTATGGTGTCCTGCACAATGGGATGCTGTCGCCTGACAAGGCTCCTACAGACAAAAATCCAAATAAATAGTATTTGGAGTTGCGCGTGGTGAAGGTGGAGGTACAGGAAGACACATTCACAACCCCTTTGTGGAAAGCAGGAGTTGGGGACTGGAGGGGAAATGGAGGAAAGGGCAAAGTGGGCGCTCTGGGTGAGAGGTAGGGAAGTGAGAGTGGGAAATTTTGAATGGCAGAGGGGAATGCATAGAGGTTTTCTAGCCCTAGAAAGAAATGGGTGCTAGGAGGGTTGGGAAGCAGAGCTGGAGCACCTGGTCCTGGCTGACAAGAGGGAAGCGGGAGCAGGGGAGCATTTTAAAGTTCTGAGGCACAGTCAGAGGAGTCTGCTGCTTCATATCTTGGGGGAGCTTTATTTTATACTGTAAGCTGCTCCTGAGCCTTCTTGCAGAGGCAGCACAGACAAATCTAATGAATAAATAAATACATAGGGGGCTGCCCAAATTGAGGAGGCAGTGACTAATTTTATTGACAGATGGAGGGGCTAGCCACCATTTTCATGGGCTTATTGTAGCAGGCCCTCCGGCCTCTGATTGGCCCAGGGGCTCCAGTAGCCCAGTCCCTTGCCGCTGACTGGTTGTGAGGACTGACCGTCATGTGGCCCTGCCCCTCACCACCACTGATTGGAGAGGGGCGGAGCTGCACAACAGGCAGCCTTCTCAGCCAATCAGCAATGTGGGGCAGGGCCGCAGTCATTTTGGGCCCCACTTTATGGCAGCAGCACTCCCCTCCTCTGCAGATTTTGCAGGCATTGCTGGATTTTGCAATTTCTGCAAAATCGCGATTTCAGTCGGCCCCTATCAATCAATCAATCAATCAATCAAGGCTGTCAGACACTGCAAGGGAAACAATGTCAGCAGATGCACTTTTATCTTGCTTTGGAAGCTGTTCTCACAACCAGAGAGATGAAAACCATCCTGTGGCAATCTATTTAAACTATTCTACGGTCACACGACATGATGGGGAGAAAACAGTAACAGTGACAAGAATGCACTTCACAAGCTGTTCTTTCCAGGGAAAGAAGAGTACACTAATCCACCCCTATTTCATTAAGCCTGAGGCACATGTGCAAATTAAAAAAAAAAAAAAGAAAAAAAAAATCCAAGGCTATACTATTGCACAGGAAACAGCCACCACCACATCTACATTTTTATGAGTTTGTATTTCTTGCCCTCAGATGAAACCGCCAACACAGCTGACAACAGTAAAAGCCAAACACTTGTCCCCAAACAAAAGTACTATTGCAGCCCACAGCACCTGGCCCCCTACTAGATCCTGCAGGAATGGAAGCTCCAATTCTGTGGACGAGCTGACACAGCAAGCCGCAGAAATGCTTGCAGTCTGATCATTGTTTGACATGTATAAAGTACTTCCGAGGGTCCAAGAAAAAAACCCAAACTATGTTAAAAAACATTCCAGTTCAACTTTAATGAGATATTCCCATTTATCTGGGGAAAAACATTCATTAAAAAGACAATAAATCAGTTTTTCTCAGTAAAAGAATACTACAGTATTTCAGGAGAGGACATCATTTTTACAACGGCCCTAAGAGGTAGACATTAGCTGGAATGGTGTGTGAAAGAATTCTTTACTATGGAAATTTCTGGCTAGATGCTATTACACCTCTCATACAACTAGACAGTGTGCTTTATGCTACCACACCCACCGTAACTCAGGTGCAGGGGAAGTGCCCAAGAAAGGCTCTAGCAGAAAGGCAGGTAGAGTAAGACAATGAAGGCCCTGGACAACTACAGGGACCAAAAAGGCCACACAAGCTTAAAGAGCAGGGCTAGCCAGAAAAACAATTTGGTGAAAAATGTTGAGGTTTTGGCATTTGGTTTCACTCAAAATCAGGGTGAAACCAAGCGCTTTTAACATCCTTAGAGAAACACAAAAAAGCCAATAAACCAATGATTGGGGCCCTTACCCAGGATGTCAACCCAGGTTCAAATCCCCAGTCTCCTCTCACCAGAGATTATGAAGTGTTTAAGTAAGTATTCACTGTGCCAGAGATAAAAAGGAGACATGCATACATACAGGCATGCAACCTACCATAGACTAGCCAATAATATAGTGTGTGGTTAAGACATTTATTTGGAATTTGGGTCAACCACATCCCAGGTGAGAGCCCTTAATACTAAGTGAGTGGCTATTGTGGAGTAGGTCTCCCACTTTTCTTTAACACCCTCCCCCAACCTGAAATGTCACCATGGGTCCAAGAAAACATCTCAATGAAAATTCTGTCAAAACTGACATAATTTCCACAAAAAGTTTAGGATTTTGACAGGTGGACATTTTCCGATGAGAAAATCTTGTAAAAGTTTTTTTTGAAAGGCCCTATTAAATGAAACTAGTTTATT